AGAGGAAACCCATTGAAGAAGTAATATAGCCACTGAGTATTCACTAATACTACAAGTAAAATGGATCTTGGAATTGTTGTAAACCATGAGCTGAATATGAGCCAACAGTGCAATGAGGCTGCAGAAAAGGCAAATGCTATTTTAGGATGCATTAACAGAACTATAGTCTCCAAAACCTGAGAGGTACTAGTCCCCCTCTAATCAGCACTGGTTAGGTTTCAGCTAGAGTACTGTGTCCAGTTCAGGACACCACACTTTAAGAAGGATGACACGAACTGGAACAACTTCAGAGGGGGGCAACAGGGATGATCAGGGGGCTGGAAACCAAGCCCTATGAGGAAAGATGGAAAGAACTGGGCATCCTTGAGAAACGAAGACTGAGGGAGATTTATAGCACTTTTCAAATACTTGAAAGTTAGTCATACAGAAAAGGGGCAGGATCTGTTCTCGATCATCCCAGAGTGCAAAACATGCAACAATGGGCTCAAGCTATGGACGCCAGCTTTAGTCTGAATTTCAGGAAAAAATTCTGAACTGTTAGAGTAGTATGACAATGGAACCAACTACCTCTGGAGGTGGTGAGCACTCCAACATTGGAGACATTCAAGAGAAAATTCAGACGACCATCTGTCAGATCTGTCAGATCTGCCATCAGCACAGGATTTCAATCAATGGCCTTATAGGCCTTTTCTAACTCATTTATTCTATGATTCTTCCCAACTCCAGGCTGAAGACAGACCAAACTCTCCTACAATTTAAAGAGTCTATACTTCAAGGTAGAGTGACATGAATTTTCTCTTGTGTTTTATCCAGCAAATGGATAAAATAGACTGCATCTAATCTAATGAAGGATAGAAGGAAACCATTCCCATTTTCTATTGTTTCTGGAGGCCACTAGTTCATAGGGTCACTGTAAGCTGGAAGCAACTTGATGGCACGTAACAAGGTTGATGGTGATTTATTTTTGGTTGATTCTGGATATGGGAGTAATGTTTGAGGCCCCATCGTTCATAACCCTAGAGTTCCATGATTTTGGGGAAATGATTATGTGACTCCCTGAGACTGGAAAGCCTAGCTCAGCAGCTAGGAGTGCTTGGGGTCAGCTGCGACTGGTCCACCAGCTATGGCTATTCCTGGACAGGGATACACTGGCCAAAATAGCTTCCCAGTTAGACTACTGCAATGCACTTTACGTGAGGCTACCTCTGAAGACGACGTAGCTAGACTCCTAATGAGAATATCCCTCAGAACCCACATGCCATCAGTTCTGAAGGATTTACAGTACTGTACATTGGCAGCCAATATGCTTCTAGTCTTCCACATGCCATCAGTTCTGAAGGATTTAGAGTACATTGGCAGCCAATATGCTTCTAGTCTGAGTTCAGGGTGTTGACAATGACTTCGTATAAAGCCCTAAATGGCTTGGATCTCTGAAGTAGCACCTTTCCCTATACAAACCTGCCCAATCATTAAGATCTGTTGAAGAGGCCTTCCTCCGTGTCCCACCATTTTGAATTGTTATGTGGAGACACCCCAACTGTGGAATGCCGTCTCCGTGGAGGCTCAATTGGCACCAGCATTGACAAAATTTCAGTGTCAAGATGTACTTATTAATTAGAGCCTTGGGGGGCGGTGTTTGAGGATAGTGGCCTGCACAGGTTTTAATGCAATGTTCTTAATGGTGGAGGGATTAATTTTGTGTTGTTTGATTTTAAATTATCTTAAATATCGTTTTAAAATTGCTTTATACAGCTTTGTAACCCACCCTGAGATCCTATGAATCTATAAAGGTGGGTTATAAAGGTTTCAATCAATCAATCAATCAGTCAATTAATCAATCAATCAGATTTTAGTTTATTTATTTATTTATTTTATTTATTTATTTTATTTCTATCCCGCCTATCTGATCATATTAGACCACTCTAGGCGGCTTACAGTAAAAACAACAATGTAATTTTAAGACTTTACAGCAGAAACGTAAATAAATAGTTATATAGAACTTCAAAATCTAACACCCAGAACTAGTTTGTCTGCAACTGCCATCATCAGAACCATTGCAGGCAAAGGTGAGGAGTGGAAAGAGTCTTGGAGGGCCAAAGACTCTGGAGCTGGAATGTCATTTTTAAAAAACAAACTTGTTGTGTTACTCATTAATTTGAAAAATCTGGGCTGACATTAGTGTTACATTATTCCAGTTTTTGTTTGTAAGGGCAAAACAACTCATTTAGCAGCATACATAGCCAGAATAATGTAATATATATAATATAGTTTCCCTCTAGTGGTCAATCCTGACATTGTATTTTGGAAATTCAAAAGACAAAATAAAACAATGCTTACCTGTCCATTTATGATTAGTAAGAGAATGGCATAACACTTGGAAAAATTCCTGTCAGAATTCCTCACACAATGCTTTACAACGCCCTTATTTTCTTTGAAAGAAATAGGAATGCAGGAATCCAGATTTATGTAAACTGATCATCTAGGAAATTAGTAGCTTGATTTTTCATTTCTGCCCCCTACAAATACCTTGACAAAAGTGTGACAATGTGGACCAGCCATAGAAATAAAATCTGGGTTGGATTACTAAAAAGTTTACGAATGAGGCTAGATTTCAAATTCCCCAGAACTCTTCATCATGCAAAGATTATATAAGATTTGGACTTCAAACAAATAGTTTGGGCTTGGCATGAGGACTCTTGAAACCTGCACATTCAGAGGCCATTTTGCAGATTCCTCATGAGACAGTGATGACACACATCAAATTATAATCTGTCCTTTCTCTGCAGACATGGACCTGTAGATTAGCTAGTTAGGCATCCTTCTGTCTCGAAAGACTATGGTAACGTGCTCTGTATGGAGGACTTGGAACTAATACCCTGAAAACAGAAAAAAAATTCAAAATGATCTGGATAAGTTTGAGCACTGGGCTGAAAACAACAGAATGAAATTTAGCAGAGATAAGTGCCAAGTGTTGCACCTAGGAAAAGGAAACCAAAGAAGGACCCTGACAAACTGGAACAAGTTCAGAGGAGGATGACAAGGATGATCAGGGGGCTGGAAACCAAGCCTTATGAGGAAAGGCTGAAAGAAATGGGCATGTTTAGCCTTGAGAAAAGAAGACAGAGAGATGATATCAACAATTTTCAAATACTGTACTGAAAAAGCTGTCATACAGAGGAGGGGGCAGGATCTGTTCTCCATCATCCCAGAGTGCAGGACATGCAACAATGGGCTCAAGTTACAGGAAGCCAGATTTTGGTTGAATATGAGGGAAAACTTCCTAACTGTTAGAGCAGTTCAGATAGAGGAACCCATGAGCTCGGGAGGTGGCGAGGGCTCCAATGTCGGAGGTGTTGAAGAGGAAACAGGATGACCGTCCCCTGGCAGATATCCTCCGATATTGAATTCCTGCCCTGAGCAGGGCTGGATGGCCTGATAGGCTCCTTCCAAAGGCATGACTGTACATTGCTTTAAGGCAGTGGTCCCCAACCTGGTTCATCACTCTATCCACTACACCGCACTGGGAATTCTTTTCCATACCACGGAGGATTTTGACCTTGGTTTCCAGTGATACTTTTTGCTAACGCCAACCTCTCCCTTTTTAACATTTTGTGTCTTTTTCTCATTCACACTTGTTAAAAAACAGGCCTGACAGATGCTTTGTATTTGGGTGAGGTTAAATGATGAAGAAAGGAACCATTTTCTGGGATTCTATGCTGTGCGGTGTCACTTTGTGAATGCTAGTGAGCACAAGACAGTATAGTATCTTGTGTGTTAAGGCAAGACTCACAGACCTACTATTTGCACACTCTGAGAAACATCATAAAGCAAAACAGAAAGTAGGGCTCCCACTAGGTTTTTTTAAAAAAGCAAAACGATTAAAGCCAAATCGGCAGTCATTCCTAGACAGATGCTGGAGTAGATCGAAAACTGATTTGACACCTTCCTCTTCTGCAGCCTGGGCCAAACTCTTCTCTGACCTCGCTTGGAAGTCTGGTCGGTCTCCCATCTCGCCAGACGGATGTCGGAGTCACGACCGGCCAGGGGGACTCACCACCACTTGATGGCCGCCTTCCCAGGGTTTTCTAGATATAACGTCCCGAGACTGGGTTCACCTTCCTTCCTGGAGTTGGAAAGGGCCCCTTTTTTTTTTGGACTACAGCGCCCAGAAGCGGCCATGCGGACATTCTGGGAGTTGTGGTTCAAAAGAAAAGGAAATGAAAGCCGGCTTCTCCTTATTTCCCTCATCCCAAACTGAAACTCCCGGGCGATGAAGAGA